GCTGCGTCACAACTGATGTGCACTGCTTTAAACTCGAAGTTGAGGGTGTGAAAAATTGACGAGTTCTCAAAAAGGGTACTTACTCTGATTTCAAAGATTTTTTGATGTTAAACTCTAAAAATCACGTCATTGCAGTGAAGTTCAAGCCAGACAGTAAGAAAAAGGGAACTAATGACTCTGTCTGCGACGAAATGTAGCCATTAAACTCGTCAAGGAAAGACTGTCAAATGATCTTTGAAAAAGAGAGTTAGAATTTCAGGACAGAATGACACCATTTGATAAGTATGAAAAATTTCTTATCATTTACATAAGGTTCAAAAAAATCTTACTCAAGCACAGTCAAGATCCGGCGTTGAAAACAAACCTTTCTCCAAAATTTTAGGCAACAATATCCAGAATTCTCTCAATGGAAAAAGAGCTCTATTTGTTCTTCTTACAGAAAGAATGTTGGAAGAAGATCGCAAAGTTTGATATTTTTGTAAATTTCCAGAAAAATTTGCTGATCTGAAGCAAGCAGAATCCGAAAAAGCTGATGATGAAAAAAAAGAGATTAGTTAAGCGCAAAAATTCAGTTCATAGAATCAAAGGATTTGTGATTTAAAGTAAAAAAAAATTGCAAATTGCAAAGAAAGCGGGAATTTTCAAGCTACAAAGAAATTGTACTGCAAGTAACGATAGTCACCTTTTATGAAAGTAGAGCAGTCTTATCAGAATTTTTAAACGAAAGAATCTGAGTTTTGAGGGAAAAATGCCAAAGTGCCACATGAGATGAGAGCAATGAGAAAACAAAGGCTTCAAAGTGCAAACACAATGAATCATCATCGGATGAAAAGCGTTGCCTGTACGAACAGCTAACAGTTGTTTCGAATGATTTAGTGTATATCATCAATAAGCAAGATTTTCTGAATTTTCCGATTTGATTTGAAAAAATGGTGACACACTTTGAGACAGGTTGCAGGCAGAATGCCAGCAGGTTGCCAACAAAATGCGGACAGGATGCCAACAAACTGCCGGTTGCAAGTTTTTCAAAAATTAGGTATTTTCTTGAGTGCTTTAAAATAGGTTCCATTTATGATTACAGAGAATTAAGATGTTGCAGAATGAGGAAAAAATCTCATGACCAAAAATCTTGAAATCAAAAGATTTATTCAAACTCTATCTGTTCGAACAAACTGCAAAATTGTGGAACAGAGCCATTTTCTCGAGAAAAAAAAATTTAACATTCCAGACAGAAAAAATTCCTAAAATTCTAAAAATTCCTTCTTTGGTTTACAAAAAATGTGGATACAAGCGCAGAAAAAGGCTAATTTTTCGAGAGAGAGACTCCTTAAAATTGGGGAAGTGATTTAGAAATTTGTTATCAAAGAGATTTAAACATTTCCTAATTTACAAAAATGAACTGCAAGGGTAGAATAGAGCCAATGCTTCAAGAAGCAACCCTAAAATCTGAGAAAACAGTATAAAACCTTGTCATTAATATAATATATAATCTGTCTTCTTCAAACTAAAGTGCAAAACGCGTAGAACTGAAGAACTTTCTCAAGAGAAATTACAAAAATCCAAGGAAACAGTCTATTTTTGCTAGTAATCCATCATTACAGCAAAACGGCTGCAGCGATGGCTGGCGAAGTGCAAGCGACCTCTTGTCACTTATTCTTCTTTTATTGTTTGCTTGCACATCGCCAGACGTTTGGTGTCGTTGCGCTTTCTGGCGGCCCCAGATGTGTGCTTTGGTACTATTTATCAAAGAAATTCTGAGAATACATAGTTCTGCAAAACGCAGCGGGGAAAGCTAGACTAAGATCTGAGCAGAAAATGGGAAGATTCTCGAAAACCGCAATGAAAACTAACCCAGGACGACGATTGAAGGCAATGAAATTTCTAGTAAAAAACCATGCCGAAGCCCTGCTTCGATTTACAATGCAAACAATGGAGAATGAGCTTAGATAGCTCGTCTGAACAACCTAGCGAATGTGGGTTCAAAGACTCAAAGCTTCATAAAAACGCAGGAGCATTCAAAATAGAAACTAAAATTTTACGAAATTTAAAAAACAGGAATAAAAAGGAGTCTATTGGAAAAAAGAACGCATAAAATGGGAAAATATCTATGAAAAAACCAAATAATGATAATCTTTTTTATTTTGTTGAAAAGTAGGAAAAATGATAGATATGAAATTAGATAAAATGCGCACACAGAATTCTTGAAAAATCATTTTGGAATTATTTGAAAAAGACATGTTAAAGTATGGCAGGTCTCTCAAATGTAAAAAAAAAGTAGTATTCCTCTTATGCATATCGAAAATTTATTCAAAACGCGACATTTTCAAAAAAGCAAGTGGTAGATACAACTAACCAACTATTTAGCACGATTTTTCAAGTCAGAATAGTAAAAACTTAAAATTTTGAAAAAAATTGTTGAGTTCCAGCAGTTCAAAAATTACTGAAAAAAGATAGCCCAGATCTTATCCATTTACCATAAAAAACTGTCCTTTGACCTTACCCAGTTCTTTCCAACACCATTTTGAAGTGAGCCATTACATTAAGTTTGAGACTTTGCTGATAGAATCAAGATTTTTGCTGGTTATATAATAATCCCCCCCTCCCCAGCTTTTTTTTCAAAGAATCATTAATCAGCGTAAATCAATTTCTTTCATGGAATAGAACCTATCCTTTTACTTGATTGAGTAATGCTAACAAATTGCCAAAAGGGAAGCAGTTTGAGAAATCTGCTGAAAAAAGTTGGAATGGAAGAATAATGATCTTCAAGTTTACAAGAATAAATAAAGATTTCCCAGAAATAGACATTATTTCGAGAAAATCAGCAAAAATAAAAACGATACTGAAAAAATCACAAAGCACACATGAGCTGTCAGTTCAGCAGAGCGACTGTCATCTGTGCACCACGGAGAGTGCTATTGATTACACGTGTACATGGAAAAAACGTTCAAAACAGCATTGAACGAGAGCGTTGCATGATCGAAGGGGGGGGGGGCTATTGTTCGAGGTAAAAGTCACATGAGGAAGGAGAGTGAAAATATGGAGGTGAGAGTCGTGACTCGTAAGAGTCGAGGTTAATCACCCATGGAGAGGTGCGGTCTCGTCGCCGGGTGTCCTTGCACGTGTGGCGCTATTTTCAAGGTAATTGTTTGCTATTGTTGGAAAAATGGCGATTATAGGCAAATTGCTGGCAGGCTGCCAATTTAGCAAGTCGTGGGCAGATTGCCAGCAAGTTGACAGGTGAAAAAATTTGGCGATATGTGCGCGCTATTCACATAATCATTGCTATGGTAGATATAATGGGGCTGAGTTCAAAACAAGTTGCTGGCAGTTTGCCAACTTAGCGGGTCACCGACAGATGGCCAACTTAGCAGATGGCCTGCAAATTACCAGCAAACTGACGACTTCAAAAAATCATTGATTTTTATTTGCACGAATCTCACGTAATTATTTGCTTTTGTTGAGAAATTGACCATTGAATTCAAGGAAAGTTGCTGGCATCCTGCCAGGTTAGCAAGTCACCGGCAGATTGCCAGCAATTTCGCAAAAATTACTGGTAGTCTTCCAGGGCCTAAAAATTTATGTGATCATTCATGTAAAAATGACGACTAAATCAAGGTTAATCACTATTGTTTGCCAGTAAACTACCAGCAACCAATAACAGGGAGTGTAATTTGCGGTGATCTTTTTTTGATTTTGAAAAGTGGGCCGGTCCACAAATAACGAATTTTTTTCAAAAGAAAGGCAGTTCTTGAGCGCTATTTGTACCATTCTTCAAAATTAAAAAAAAGATCATCATGAATCATTTCTCCCTTTTATCTGCTTTCTTGGCTCCTCTTATAGATAGATAAACAAAAATGATTCAAATATAAACATGAGAATAAAACATTACTTCTAACTGCCTAAGAGCAAACAAATTTGTTTTTTGCTTTTCGTTTGCACCACTGGATTGCAAAACGAGAACGGAATCATTTTCTCAAGTAAAAAATTGAAATCAGAGCAAAAACTAAAGAGCAGCGGTAGGATTTGAATAAATAGGAGAATAAATCTTTTCAAGCAAAATTAAGAAGAGTTATCCATTAACTGACTATGACGATGTAGCTACTGCCTTATTTCTCAGAAAAGCAGATACGATAGCAACATATTCTAGAACATTTTAGAACAAAAAGGGAGCTGTGTAAACTCTCTCCGGAAATGTCTTTCAGGAAGCAATCTCAAAAAAATTGAAATATGTGTGGGAGTGATGGGAAACATATTTTGATAGCTGGAAAAATAATTTACACAAAGAATTCATTGACTTCAAAAAAAAGGGTGGAAGCACTTTGTAAAAACAGTTATTTTCGAGAATGGAGTGATTTGGAAACTGTATAGGAACTGATTCAAACTCAACACCTTCTCCACTATCGATGCTATCAACAGTGGGAAAATTTATCAAAAGATCACAAATTATCTTACAATTAGCTTAATTAAGCTTTAAACTAAGAAGACACTGGTTTTTCCTTGAAGAGATGAGATTTGCGTCATTAGCTCTTAAACTGTTAACGCGCAGATTACATAATTTGAAAAACCAACCAAAAACTTCATTATTAAGCAAATTACAAAATCAAGTAACTGTACATAGTTCTTACTGTGTGCCTGCGGTAACGGTGAAATTGCTCAAAAATCTGCGCAAATTTTTGTGAAGCAATTTTCAAAAATAAACATGTTGACAGTCTGATATGTGGAGTTGACTATGCTTAGGAACCATTTACTGATCAATAAATCGTTTCCTAATTTATATTCATCAAGCTTTTATGAGAATCTGAAGATTTATGCACCCCATTTCCTTTTCGGGTGAAAAAGAATCAGATGGCGTTAACTTTAAATGTTTCCAGGAAATCACAGACTTTATGAGATGTTAAGCTGCTAACTCTTCGAATACATCCGGGGCCATGTTTTTGTGTAATTTCCCGGAAATGACAAAAAGACGTCGCTGATGCTGAAAGAACCATAAAAATGCTTACATCTGGAGTTGATGGCAGAATGCCGCGACGCACGCCAAACACTCGCAACGAGAGCGCTATCGATTTGAACTTCATCGTTGTCTTCTATCGTTTAGTGCAAGTCATCTGGAAAAGAATACGGTAGCTATACGGTATGGATACAATATGCGAAAGCGATAACTATGTCCATACAAGAGGGTTTTTTTTGCGAATATTGGCACGAGATCTCACAGAAGGAAACACTTAAAGGTCTTAACTAGTGGCAAACCATAAAAGGAGTTCCCAGAGATACAAGAATACGGTAGCTGGATACGGTATGGATACGATATAAACTCAAAAGCGATTTAGATGTACACATGAGATTTTTGAAGAGAACTGCACGACAATTCATGAAACTGAGAAGTTCCAGAGGTGAAGTTGTAAATGGTAAGGCGCAGGCATAGGCTACAACTGACTACGGTATGATTACGGTATAAGCGGCTTTGGCAATATATAAACCGGCACAAAATTGAGAGGATTGTGTGAGAGGTAAGGATGGTAAATAAAAGAAAATGATGTGCGCGAAACTAAATTACTGGAACTAGGATAATGTGTTTGATTGCGGTATGGATACTGTATGGATTGGACAGCCATTCGGACGTTCGTATGAAATTTTTGCTGCGCAAAATTGACAAGAATTTCTGTGACTGAACGAGTTTAATAGGTATAAGTTATAAATTAGGGCACAAATAGATTTCTTGTAAATAAAATACGATAATGTAGCACGGTATGGATACGGTTCGGACTTAGCAGCATTTTGGAATACACAAAAGAGATTTTTTCTGCTTCATCTGTAGATTCTGAGAGATGGCACGAAGTAGAGAAGAGTACGGTTTTGAGTACGGTATGATTGCGGCAAGTACCGCAAGATTTTTCCACGGTAGACCAGGGTGCAAACCAAAATACGGTGGTACGATGCGGTTACGATTCAAACTCACGAGCGACTTACTCGGTACAAAAGACTATAGATAATAATTAAACTGCGAAAAAATCGACAGATCGCCACTTCTATATACGAAACTCGCGACTGAAGGTTATATGTTTCCAGAACTTAGAAATTCTTGGCACTTTTGAGGGATACATTCTCTCAAGCATCTATCCTTTGTGAATGATTAGAAAGGTAAGAGTGATATTGAGTCATTTATATAGATTTTTATACGACAATCAAAGTCGTGCTTGAAAAAAAATACGCAAAAGAGACAATGTAAGAACAGCAGATTCTATGCGACTCTATCTTTCATATGCTAAACTCAATTTACTGACTTTAAAATACGAAAAGCATTCGACGACTTTCTTCCGTTACGGCTCAGAAATTTCCAGATGTTACTCTCAAGGAAGAATTCTAAGTGTAAAAAGATTTAGGTGGGGGACTTTGTCTAAAGATTTTATCTTTTTTCCTAAAAATAAAATATTACCTTAGATGAACATTGATGAGTAAATAAACCAAATGGACAAAATAATTTTAGATTTGAAAATTCAAATAAATAAAATAAAGACTTCAGCTGGCCTTGGTCCTTGACGATATCTATGGCTCCTGTAACTACAGTATTCTGATAGTTTAGCCGACGATAAAAATGTGTTTGACGTAAGTGCTTGGCATATGGATAATCGCTTAAAATCCCACGAGCAGCATACATAGACGTCTAGGAAAACAAATCCTTTCTCAAGCGTGCTTACTATACATAATTCATGTCGTAAATGTAATATCAGTTGTAGATTTATTTTAGGAAAATGCAAAAGAGATTGGAAATTTTAATAATAAAATTAGATTCAATGCTATAAACGGTAGATCATTCGTAAAATACGAAGTTCTGCGAAGGCAAGTGATCTAAAATGAACAAAAACTTCTCTGGAAGTCCTGGAAATAATGTTACTTGATGACAGCAATGGAGCATTTTATTGTACCGATTTTTTTTGGAAACACACAATTTTCAAATCAAAATTTCATGAGCTTCACTTGTTTGAGTCCTTTTTTAAATGAAGAAGAAGAAAAAAATGAGAGTAAATAAAGGGAGGGTCAAAAAGCTAATGCTCTAAGAAGTAAGTGTTCAAAAGTCAAATAAAATAGAAGAGTGGGCTTACAGGAACAAGAGAAAAATAAGAAGGGAAGGTAACGACATTAGAAGGTAATCATATGCCTTGTTTCAATACTTTAGGAAAATGTTTCAGAAATGTGAGGCGAAAAGAGGGAAAAAAGAGTTTCCAGAACATTCGGCTAACTTGTACGGAATACTAATGATACTGCCATTTTATGGAACATCTGCAGATAAGGAAAATTTGGGGGGGGGAGAGGGAGGGGGATCAAACTCATGAAATTCATTATTGCTGTTGTTGAGTGCAATCAAATTTCTGTTTTGCAGCATCACATAATTGACAAAGTAAATATCTTCATTTTACTTTCTCGAGATTAACTAATCAGAAAATTTTTCCTAAAAGAAAGTTCCTACTTTCAAAAATTCGTTTTTGGTAAGTAAACGAGGCAGCTGAGATGTTAATTGAAAAATGGAGCAGTAAAATCTAGCGGATTACATACACTGCGATATCCTGAAAATTGGTACTTTTGATCAATTACGAGAGGAATAATGAAACAGCTGCTGTACACCACCCTTTTTTTTCAAAAATAACTTCAGAATTTGGAAAAATTCGCATTTATTTCAAACAAACAACGTTATAAGTTTATGAATCCTAAATCTGCATTATTACCTTAATCTGAAGGCATACACCATTCTTGATGATACGCATTCATTACGGAGTTGTATGTACAGATTTCCTACCGTATATCTACCATAACTCACACCCAAAAATGCTTAACAAAATGTATTTTTATTGTACCTTAAAATCCCATAGATAAGAGCGGTTTAAATTACCGGTGAAAAATGAATTGGGATGAAATTGAAATTGAATGCGGTCACCCCTCTAACTTGATAAAAGGATAAATAAAAATCGAAGAAGAAGTTTAGAAGAAGCTCCGCCCCTCAACTCTAAACCCCGCCCACTTAATAAACAATTCATATAGAAAAATAGCGATTTTTACTGAATTCCGGAATTCCTATATGAATTGTTTATTAAGTGGGCGGGGTTTAGAGTTGAGGGGCGCTTCTTCTAAACTTCTTCTTCCATTTTTATTTATCCTTTTATCAAGTTAGAGGGGTGACTGCATTCAATTTCAATTTCATTCCAATTCATTTTTCACCGGTAAGTTAAACCGCTCTTATCTATAGGATTTTAGGGTACTTTGACTTAACGAGTAAAAGCACGGTAAAGTATTCGTTTTGAAAAACATATGGATACCTATCGTACACCTACCGTGCCCTACAGTCAGCAGCAATGCGATAGTTGCATCAAAATTATAGATTTGCTTCATTGCTTAAATTTGAAAATAATTTTTCAAATAGCCATAAGGTGACTAGATTATCATAAAAGACTAGACTACTATGGACTCATACCTTGAGTTACTTGTGATAAAATGTAGTAGGAATTAAGGTCTATTAGGGGAACTTTGCGGTTATTCTGTCGGAAGCCAGCATAAAATTACTCAACAATTTAGTCTAAAAATATGACAGTATTGCGTCAATGGTGCTGAAAGGAATAGAAGAAATGTACTTTGGCTTCTCTTCTCAAGATCAAAAAGCGTTTGGAAAACATAATACAGATTTTTATGAAGATTTGTAGCCATGTTTTGTTTCCTTACGCTTAGAGTAAGGTAGATTGAAAGTACTTTTAAAAAATCGAAATGCGAGAAAAATACAGAAAAAGTGTTGGAAAACGTTTTCGGAAAAACTTTCGATTTATATACTTTTCGCATACCTAACTGTTGAAAATAAAACTCGGAAAAAATGTTGCAAAGGAAATCCTTACGTTCGGAAAAAACTTTGATGATAGCTACATTCTGGGAAAATGCATAAGAATGAGTAATAATCTGTTTTTTAAATCATAACGCTTGAAGTTCGATAAAGATATGGAAAAAATCGTTGAGAATATATCACAGAAAAATTCTCTAGGCTAAAATCTATGTCTGCTAAATAGCAGAAAGTGCTTCTCGTACAAGAAAAACCTTCATCAATAACCCGACGTGTCCACCAACAATGCAAAATTATTGACTACTCCTAGCTTTATTATAAATTTAATTGAGGCCAGTAAATGTCATACGGACGAGAAAAGGCAGACACATGAATTACAAATGAAGAGGAATACACTGGCAGAAACACTGAAAGCCATAGCTTTGATGAAACGATAGATAGAAAACTGTTGGAAAAAAACCTTTATCAAGTAATTTTCTAGAAAGATGGCTGGATTGGCCTGATATAGGCAAAAGAGCTGTAGCGCAAAATTTGGTCTTTTTGATTATTTTTTCAAAATTACCATTTTTTCTATTTTTCCAAGTCATTTATTTACCAATATGAAAGAAAATCACTGAAGCTGAACCAGGAACGGTTAAACACTCGTGTCTCATTTCGTTGCGTGTAGTGGGTGTTAAGTAAATATGAGAGATTCGATCCTGAGAGCACAGCTTGAGCAAACAAACGAAAGTTATTGCGATCTTATCGCTAATTATTCAGAAGTTCCGATTTTGCTGAAAAAAGGAGAAAATTTTTGATTTACTCTGTTTTCTATCACACTAGTACCTATGTGTGGTCGTAATTAAGCTTTGTGACACTTTTTTCACTTTCCTTCAATAAAAAAAAACTCTAGGAAATCCAGCAAAGTCTGATATTTGGCAAATATGAGCGGTTTAAACAAAGGACTGACTGTTGCATCATCCAACTTTACAGATATATAATAAATTACAATGAAACTAATGGTGATTTTGTTACGGCACTCAAATCTCCATTTTTCTTTTTCAAAAATTCTCACGTTCTTATTTTTTATACTCACAGATTTTTATGGGCTTCTGGAGACCGTAGTACTGATATGGAGGCAAATCGGAAGTCTAGGCTCTTCAATAAAATACAACTCGTAAATCTGCCAAAAACATTTCAGAAAAGTTAAAACTGGATCTTCGCGTGTGACATCAAGAAGATAAAACTACATATCGACTCCATTTGGATTTGAGAAAAAATCTTTTGAGAAAGTTATGAACAGTTTTTC